CGTCCGGTTGTGTTTGTCTGTCCGCATGGCTAGTGCAAAGCGAAGGAGGCTAGTCACTGTATTAGCGGTTAATGCGAGGCTTTTGACACCTTGGCGCCTGCACATTGACCGCTTAGAAAGCCACTTATTTGTTGCTCTGTATAATTATAATTGTCATTAACATTACCATTACAATTACCATTACAATTACCATTACAATTACCATTACAATTACCATCCCATAAACATTACGATCACCATTACCATAACGAATACCAATTATTATGATTACCATTATCACTATCATTACAATTACCACTGCCATTACCATTTCCACTGCCATTGTTACTAACATTACCATTATCATTGTCATTACCATTACTACTACCATTACAATTGCAATTACTACTATCATTACAATTACCATTATCATTACCATTGCAATTACCAGTACCAATATCAATATCAATTACAATTACAATTACAATTACAATTACCACTATCATCATTACAATAACCACTACCATTCCAATTACTATTACCAATACCATTACGTCATCTGTATTATGACCACTGCAATTGCCAACACTCAAAAAAACCGCAACGCTATTGTAAACAACGACGATTAACGTGCCGATTATCATTATCATCACCGCTTCGATCAGCTGGCGCGCCACCATTCAATGCCAGCCTAAATTGTCGAAACGAATTTGTTTTCCCCTATTCAATTAAATCGTAGCTTGCGTTTGCTAGTAGTCAAATGCGTTTTTACGATTGGGCGAGGGGTTAGCGGAGAGCGCACTGCTGTACTGGCCAATGTGGGAAATTCCAAATTGTAAACAAACAATCAAAATTAAATTCGCGATTTGCACAAAAAAAAAGAAAATATTTAAAAAAATTTAAACTCATTCGCAAAATTCAAATGGAACAGGTAGTTAGCTAGTTGAGCATTCGAGCGCTGCGTGTACAACGCAACAAATGAACGAAAAAAAAAAAAATAAAAAAATTAAATTGAAAAAGGAAAAGAAAAGCAGCGACATTTTAATGTCATAACACATACAATGGAGCGGAAAGTCGTAAACAAATTTCAATGTAAATGCAGCGCCAGTGCAATGCAACAAATACAAATCATCAACGCAGAACATCCGACTATCAAATTGCAAATAATAAAATTAAACAAATAAACGCAACAGAAACCGAAAAAAAGCAAAAAAAAAAAAACAATTATTATATAAATATGTATGTATGTATGTACTTGAACGCAACTGTAGCGTTGTGTAGATAGTAAATTAAGCGCAAATAATAAACAAATTGGAAAAATATAATGGCAACAAATTATAAACAATTTATTCTGGTGTATTATGCTATTCAGTCCATCAATGTGTGTATGTGTATAAATATGTACATATGTATGTAAGTGTGGCTGTGTGCTGGGAGATAACATGCCAATAATGAGCCATGCTGAGTCAACTGTTGTTGATGGATTTGCTTGTAAACAGATGTTTGCCTTATTTATGTATTTCTCGTCGGTGAATCAACACTTTTTTGAAACAAACAGCTTCAGCTTGACAAATATTTTCAAAAAATAATAAAGCGCTTAAAAGTTAACGAATTAAAAAATTTTTGTGCTTCTTATCATCTACGAGTACATTGCTATGTATGTATGTACATAAGTAGATATGTGGTTGGCTATGTTCATAGCTAAGTGAGTTCTATTTATTTACAATTTTGTTGAACTCGATTTTCATTTGAGTAGCTGGCAGCTTGGCAGGAAAGCTAGGGAATCATCAAAACCTCGCTGTCCTGGTACAATTTCCCGTTGAAACAGAATGATAGTTACTGAGGTCTGGGTTCGATATAAAAAATATCTGTGTTGTATTTAAATCACTACTGCATACATTCGCAAGCATACTTTCGACTTAATCTGCTATTCCTCATTGCCACAGGTAGAGATAAATCGATACAAGTAAATCCAAGTACATACTCGATACTTTTCTCAATTTACCAAGTATTTTTGTACTCGATACTTTTTACTGCGATCCAAGTAGGTATCGAAAAAAAAGTACTTGTATCGGAAGCGGAAAACTTATTATGTTTCAGCATCTTCTTTGCAAAGCAAACCATTAGAGGAATGGGAAGATATGCGCACTACATTTCCGCAGCTATATAAAGAAGCCTGTCTGTACATAACGGTTGTTGGGTCATCTGTCCCTGGCTTTTCTCAAAAATAGGTACAACTACATCAAAATCTCGAACCCGCCTTCCACTTGGAAAAGTTGATGTTTTTGGGAAATAGGTATAAAAAAAAAAGAGTTCTTTCCTTAAACTTATTTTATATGAAAAAAATGTCTCTATTAATCTGTATTCTAATATTTTTGAAATCAAATCCTATACAAAAATAATTGTTGTCTTAAATTTTTGTGTGAAAAAATATTAAAAAAATTAGCTTGTGAAAATGCATTTTTTTTTTGTGAAAAAAAAATACAATAAGTTTGAAAAATACGCAAAATAGTAGTTCTATGTACAAGTACTCGATACCTTTCCGATACTGAGTAGCTATCGATACCTTGTTTGATACAAGTACAAGTACTGATTTGAGTAATACCTTGATGGTATCGATTTATCCCTAGCCACAGCTATTCCACATTTCTGCATTTTGCCGTGATTGTAATTTCCTTTCCTCAGAGAACACTAAAGACATTTTGGTCCGTTATAAGGCTCTCGAGAATCTTCTCGTGCGGTTTTCTTAACGGAATTTCATAAGTCTACATCGTCACAGATTTCTTACTCGCTAGTCGTTGCAAGATTTTGGAGTCGCATTACGGTCGGTATTTTACGGGCTCCCTCCTTCGCTCGCTCGATAAATCGCACTGACCTAATTAATGTCTTTACATATTTGCGACCATACCGAATGAGCGGCAAGTTCTAAGTCTTACTAGGTTCAACATCTCCACCCAGTCATTATTGGCGAACAGCAGTACTGCTCAGGGCGATATTCTATCCCCGCTGATATGGACATCTGTGGTCAACAAGATCTTAGTCACGATAAGTGGCAGGGCTCTTAGATCAACAGCTAATCTATACATTACCATATATATGTATATTACAAAACCAACAACCACATGATGAAGTGTGAATTGCAGCGGAATAGCTGCGCTTGATTGTGTTGGCTTAACAAATGAAAAAGTGGAAAAAGAGCAACAATAATTTACAAGGCGAACTTAGCACAGTGCGTAGGCAACTGGCTCAGTCAGTGGCGATTGTCGGTTCGAATCCTACTGAAAGAAGTGTGATGAGGAAATGTGGTGATTTCCGAAATAGCTATCACTTCTATAATTTTTTTTCAAATAGTTGTAGCTTTTCCACAATAAGTTTTTCATTAAAAACGGCCGCAAGCTCAAGAAAAATTGTTGAATATGTACTTGTACTTGTTCTTGATGTGAAGATGTGTCAAGTCCCCGATTTGATACTCTGTGTTAAGAATATACATATGTATGTACATACGTGCAATACATACTATGTATCTTCATGCGCACACAAATAGTTTTCACCTTTCATTCTGTTCGTCATAAAATTAAGCCAAACTTCCTTGAAAACCCACTACACGTCGATTTGATAGTCATATCTGGCGCCAAGTTATTCAGCGCCGTACAAATGAATACCCAGCGCTTGTGCTTTTTTTTTTTGGCGAAAATTTCACAATTTTTACAATTGTCCGTAAATCAATCAGCGTCACATGAACGTTATAAATAATAATAGCACCTTTCGCTTGCCTTTCATCGGCGCTTATCGCTTAGCGTCGACGCTTAAATTGCCAATTATTTCTGAACGTACGGTATGTATGGTATGCAACAGCAACAAACATAAACAACAATGCGCACAATTCTTAAGGCGACGACGTAACCGCCGACGACTTCACGTTTTGTTTATTTTGAGCTTGTCGCGACTGCTATGGTTAGGCCGGCCCGGCCCGGCCCGCCTGCACGTGATCGATAGCATTTCAAGTTTACCAAGTTTATAACAGTCATCATACGCCCCGTCGTACATACATACACTCCCTCAACGTTCGGCTACGCTTATCTTCCGCTCATTACCGTTGTTCCTTGGCTTTTGGACTTGCCTTCCCTTGTTTTTGCTTTTGGGACTTCTTTGTTTCTGTCTCCCTCATTTTCACCAAAAAAATAAAATAAAAAAAAAATCCGCGCATAGTTGGGCTGTTGACGTAACGGTAAGACGAGTAATCAGTCGCCGCCGCAGTTAATGCAAACAATGAAATCGAAACGATGCGAGTGCGGAACGCTCGTGCACCGTATTAACTTTTTTTTGTTTACATTTGAAATATTGAAGTGGTGGTGCTCGTAAATTCTCTGTGATTCTGATTTTTATTTCACCGACTTTATGACAAAATGCACGCGCTGCCAATTTGAGCTGTGAAGCGGCGGCGCCACACTACGCCCGCACACCGCGGACTCTCCCTTTTGGCGGAGGCTTGCATTAGAGCCATATTGATTGAAGAATTTTAACATTTGCAAGGACAAAGTGGTCGCTTGGCTGCGTGACATGTGCCCAGCGGCGAGTAGATAACCGTAAACCTACACCACGCGCCTCCTGATAAGCTGTTAAGCGAAAAGAATTTCCGAATGTTGAGCCTTGGACTTGTTTGTGCTATGACAAAGCAAAAATTCGACTGGCTCTCATAAAATTGTTTGCTACTCAACACTTGTCCGCATTTTTTTTAATCAGCAATTCACGCCGCCACAATTATCACAGGTGCTGTGCCTGGTCGCCCTTTCTGTCCCCCCTTCCCCCCAAAAAAAAGGCCTTCCGCAACATTGAACATTTAATCGACAGTTAAGCGTACAATCGACAGCCATGGGCAAGCGGAAATCGAAATCGGATATCGAATGAATGATTTGCCTTCAGCTAGGCGCTTTTATTTATGATACCCTCGTTTACATTTGCAGTAATCAAAAAAAAAAAACAAATCAACACATTAGTGTGCGCAGGTGTTGTGGTTGCGCTTAGCGCCTGCCCGCACCAGCGCCGCCTTGTCCGCCACCGCCACCGCCGGCGCCAACGCTGAATCCTGCGCCGAACGATGCACCACCGGTAGCTCCGCTGTCACCTCCGCCACCTGCACCGCCACCTAGGCCAGCACCGATGCTCATCCCAGCTCCTGCACCAGCCCCAGCGCCGCCGCTAGGTGGTGGAGGTCCTTGAGCGTTCGTGCAGCCGCCTGCCTGCGTGAAAAAGGAGCTAGTTAAAAAATTCAATATCAACTACGATGGATACCCACCATCAACAGCACCAGCACGGACAGGAGCAAAGCCAAGTTGCGCTTCATTTTCAATCGTTGAATCAAAAAATAGTTAGTTTTGCAAACTGTTTGATGGCGTCGACGTTGCACCCTATTTATACCACAGGCCGGCCCTCAAATGCGAGCCAGTTGCTTGATTGCTATCCCAAAAATTTTGTGTTCGATTGGTGTTGCATGTCCCATTTTACAAGCATTGTCCGGTGATAAATTATGTCAAATGTTTATTCAATTAAGCCAAAACCTTTTAATTGTTATTGTTACTTTGTTGCCCCCAGTGCTATCGCCAGGTGCTATCGTCGCGTATAATTAATGCAATTACCTAGGAATTATTTAGTTGGCTAATGATTTTATTCGCTGGCGTGCCACTCGGACGCCTGACTCTCAATCAAACACGAATTGGTTGATGTGCAAATGCCATTGATTTTTGTTTGATTCACATCTCAGCCATGTTGTTGCCGGCACTTGTCCGATTTATGATCGTTATTAGTTCCCATAAAACTATAATAATTTAAATGCTTGCATGAAGTTATGAAAGCGAAATGGAAGCTCCGTTTTTGTGTGCAATATCTTAGCGAAAGTTGTAAATTTCGTGGGAAAGCATGACATGGCTTTTGTGTCAGCGAAAGTAGAAATGATATTGCAATTAAAAAATGCTTTAAAAAAATCAGAATTTACAACTGTTGGGTGCACAGCAATTTTGCACTGTGGTGCAATTTTGATTTGTTATGCGACCCTAGGCACCAATAATATGGCAATAAGGCCACTGAATATGCACCTGACTTCGCGTACAACATTTATTGCAAATCACAAAGCCGAAGTCAGACAGGGAAAATTTTAAGAAAGAAAAAAACTCAGTGTGTGTGCCCTAAGCGTGCATGAACTGAAAAGCAGTCAGTCATTCGTTTTCCGTCCACGTATGCGCCATATACCACCTTCACCGTGGCGTTAAGTCGATGGAAAAGTTTCGCTTCTAAGAAAGAAAAAGCTTTTGTCGATCACCCCACGACTAGGAATTTACTTATTCCGAAGGTGCTGGAAGCGATGTGTGGCAATAACAGGAAAATTAAGTGCAAAAGCAGCTACTACACTGGCTCCTATGCAGAGAAGCTGAATCAGAAAGTTTCGCAACAAACGAAGATCACCAACGGACCAATATATCCACGATTCTGACCTCACACTTCTGTGAGTGGGGGAAAGCAGATGTTGCAGAAGAGTGGCCAAATTGATTTACGGTGAATGGTGTTAAGCTAGTAAAGCTCTTAACGTACCTCAATAAGGCTATCAGCGATAGAGTACAACTCCACAAAAAGCTTTTCAGGCGTTCCGCGCTTTTCAGGCTTTCAGCAATAGCTGAATTGTGTAGCTGAAAGCTTCAAAAACGCTAAACGTCTGAAAAGCTTGTTGTGGAGTTGTGCTCTTAGTCCCTAAAATTCAATTCTGCGTCCAATCAAATACTAGATCATACTTAGTAACGGGGAAATTGGTACATTGATGGTAAGGTGTTTATTTTGGGTTAAAGTCCCAGACTGACGGTGCTACGCTTTGGCTTTCAATGTTAACTGCTCGTACAAATACTAAATATACTCTGAACTTGTGGCCAAACGTTGATATTGAAACGAACTATTAAACATTGGCTGCTTTTAGAATTCGTTACGGGCCTTATTGGGGAGAGTTTAAAAAAAGTTTTCAAAGAGTGTAACTATTTCAAAATATCCTGAAATTTTCGAATGTATTCAATGAAAAGTGTTTGTCAATTCTACTATACAAAACAAAAATGCCATTTGGGATTACCATGAAAGCTTTTCCATACCAAAACACTTTCTCCATGCATTTATGTAAACAAAATTTTGTTTATTAACTTTGTGGTAAATATGTCAAGGTTTCTGAGTATTATTTTTAAATAAAGTTACCTTTGTTTGGTTAGTTCAAAAGTGTTGACTACGGTGAGCTGAGCTCATATTACTTTTTCTGTCTTAAAGGTATTAGTAAATAGAATTAAAATACCATAGCACCATTTTTTGTTTATTTAGTTTGCCTCTAATTTCTTTTAAATAAACCTTAATAAATACATAGGTAAACATTTTCCGTTATCACTCGCAGGTGTTTATTTAAAATATATGGACACGCTGTTTGTGCTTAAAAAAGTTTGGTCATAAATATTTCAATTTCGATAATTTGTGATTTGGAATGCCCCGAAAAGCTAAAAATATATTAAAATATGCATAGCTCAAGTGCGATAAGATCTCGGACGGTTAAAAAAATACTTGGACTCTTGCTTCATACTGGGGCATTCAATCCCGGGATTCAGAATCTTTTCTTACAACGATTTAGACCGAAGACGACAAAACGTTTTTGTTTTTTGTGTCGTATAGAGCAAGAGTACACTTATTATTCAACCCATATAAAATGAGCCGTAAACCGATACAAACGGTGACAGGTAACAAGATCAACGGCAATAACATAAATTGACAATATTTCACATACTAGTGTGAAATAAAGTCAATTGACATTATTACCTTTTCAAAAGCGAAATAAAGTCAACAACAATTTGGAAATAAAGTAAGTGATGTTATTTCCTCATTCAAATGGATATAGCGTCAACAATGCTTAAAGTATGTCGATTCAAAGAAACAAATTTTGTTCTTGAATCGTACGCGAGATATGATTGTTGTTGCAATAAACGAATCCCCGTAAGTGTTGCTTCCACACATGAAAGAGGTTATTGCCAAATCCTCAGTGCTATCAATCAAGACAATCCTTAACCACCACTAATTGATTTTAATAAAAAAACTTAAAATATGAATATAATAAAAACACGATGCGAAAAACTAAACGAAAAAAGAGTTGGAAGACGAGAAATATTTGACGAAGAATGTAGAAATGATCTAGAACTCGCCGGCCGCCACGAAGCTACGCAAATTTAATGTTCAAGAGAGCAATAATGTCAACGGATTTTATTTCGCTTTTGAGAAGGTAATAATGTCAATTGGCTTTATTTCTCAAGAGTATGCGAAATAGTTGTAGTTGGCGTTATTTCCGTTGATTTTGCTGCCTGTCACCGACACAAATGGGATAGAAAAAAAATGTTTTCTTTTCGGTCGACTAAAAAAAATATTTTGTCGTCTTCGTTGGAGATACTTTCGAAAGGACTCCAGTAGAAATTCCAGTAAAATTCGGTTTCCCATTTTATTCGTTTTAACCCTTCAACTTCTCCAATTATTTATTCTGTTGATTCTTATTCTGAAGAAGCTGCATTTGATCTCATTCAACATAGCAGAAAAAATGTTTGAAGTAATAATTACACCGGCACACAAAAAAAAAACACATACACGTTTAACCAGACCCAATTACCGATAAGTATTTCGATCCGCTGAATCCGAATCTGAGGTCCCTCAAAATTTCGAGTGAATTGTGACCAAGATGTAGGTCAATTTGTAGGGGTTATATTTGTGAGCTGGCAAAAACCTGTTATTTGTGCCTTCTTTGTATTTGTAATCTGTGTCTTTTCTTCATTGTCTTTCCTTAACAATAATATAGTTTACAGACTAATGGGTACCTACATTGTAAAATTTTGGCAAGCATTTTTTTCGTTGTTTCGCAATTAAGAACATTATTTTATATCAATGTTCTAAACAAGTTATATCGTCGTTTAATTTTTGGCAAAAAATGTCAGTTACGCGGTTTCTATTTTAATACATATATTTTGTTTTTTATTTCAGCCACTTTTAGCATTTACGCATTAAATAAGTGCGGTGCTCATAGGCGTACATACATACATACATACAGTAAGTTGATATGTGTGCGCCCATACTTAATAAATATTTAGACACTTAAATTCACCTGCGGTAATTACCAAATAAACAAACTGCGATTGTGTATCTGTCAAATAAGCTTTAATAATATTGGTGCGCGACTAAATTTAACTGCATAAAGGCGTAGTAAAAATTGTGTATTTATATACTTACTCAACGGGTAACTGATTTAATATTATATGTATGTCACTAAAAATACTATACATACATACATACATATCAACAAGCAAGCAAGCAACAGCCAACGCTAGAAATTATGAAATACATAACTTATGGATACCCCGCGGCAAGTGCGCATTTCCGACAACGACTCCTCCATTAACTAACTATGTTTTTCTAATTGTTTTGTATTTGCATTGTACTCTGGCGCGCTTTTTCAATAGCAGCTAGTACAATCAGCCAGCAGACACTCGCTCGCTCAGACAATGCAATCCAGTAATCAGTAATGAATGAGGGCGCTGTTTACGATGGAATTACAATAATTCTACTACGTAGTTGTAAATAGCTGCTATGTATGTATGTATGTATGTATGTATGTATGTATGTATGTATGTATGTATGTATGTATGTAGATGATAGGGCATCGCCCCTCTCGGCCAAAACGATGTGCGATGGCTGCCTATGCCCTTGTCCGTGTAACTACATACATAAATACAACGTCGTTGAGCTCGTAAAAAAAATGGTAAACGAGTACTTACAATTTATTAAACACCTATGTAAGTATGTAAGTGTCTATATTTACATGTGAATGAATATGCGTGTGTACGTACGATTTTTTCTTGCTTACAGCGTTATCGGGCAGCCCAGGTTGGTTGGCTGGTGGAGCGGTCGGTGGAGATCACCGTTTGCGCGGGCGCTTCAATTTATGAGTCTGAGCACTCACCCACCGCATGCTCCGCACATCGGCACAACGTTTCCATTACATTTGCATTGGCGTCGTTATGAATGAAATGCCAACAATCAAAAAATACTCCGCGCACGTACTTTTATTTCTTTCGCTAAGCTTACGTGCTTACGTGCTTACGTGCTTGCGGTATTCAAATCAAATCTTGGTGGATCCATGACTTTTTAGCAAATGTTGTGGTGTACTAAAAATTTATTGTCTATGAATAATGCTATTGGCGCTATTAAATTTTCCTCAGAATAAGCGGCAGACTGTTTTATGCTGTCGTCTCGTAAAGACAGTCTGCCTTTTATGATAAGACAGGGAATCGA